AACACCCAGACAGCCATACCAAAAGGGACGTCGCGACGCCCTTCGAATTTTGATATTGAAATTTTTGATTTCCCACAGGAAGCTGCTAACTACGTTTCCTCGTTTTTTCATTTCGTCAGTTCTCATTTTCTTTCAAATTTCTCACAGCTTCCGTTCGCTTCAAATGATATTTTAATTTCAATTTAGCTTGGCTTTATTTATATCGTGTAACGTCGCAACGGCACACCCGGTATATGCACTCGGCTACACGCAGTACACAGCGCATGGTACTGACATAGGCGCGATATAGGCAAGTAGTGCATTAGAGAGCACAGTACTCGTTTTACACAGCGTAAAATAAAGTGCTACGAGTTTGAGGAGGCAGCGAGATAAAACGGAAGGCTTCAATAAAACGGAGGGTAAACTCGTCGAAGGTCACTTAAAGCTCCAGCACGTGTCACGCAACAAAGGCTATACGTGGAAAAAAAAAGATTCGAAAGAGGTCGCTATGCGCAGCGACTTGAAAGCCGCCCTAAAGAGAGGAGTGCACAGCGCGATAAAGTGTCAGGGCTTTTCGCGAGAGCTATCTCTCTCTAACGTTGCCAAAGTGTTTTATTTCCCGAGGGAAGAAGAGAGAGAGTCAGAAGCGTAAAAAAAAGGGGTGAAGAATCTCATGGAGGCGGTAAATGCAAACGAAAAAAAAAAAAGGAAAAGAGCAACCGAGACTAAGGGATGATTTACAAAAGAGAGTACTAAGAGTGGGGTGGGAGCGTGAAAATAGACTTACGGGGGAAAAAAAATTGTGATACAAAAAAAGGAGGGGTGAACCTAGAGGGTGCCTGGCAACGTCCAAAGACAAAAAAAAGTCCAGGGTAGTTTCAGTGCGAACCAGAAGTATTGCAAGGGTGAGTACTAGGGATAGTGAGAAGAGAGGGGGGAGCGAGTCACTCGGCGAAAAGTGAGTTAGGACGGCCGTGAGTGGTAGTTGGCGGAAATAGATGAGTGGAGGGGAGGTAGGGGGGTCAGGGGTTGTTGGGAGCGAAGGGTGGGAAAGCAGAGTGTTGATTGAGCGTATTATGAAGGGATTTGAGATTTGAATGGTGAAGCAGTGAGTGGCGAGGGGTGAATGGTCGGCGGTACGAAGAGGATAAGGGTGGAGCAGGGGCGGAAGGGTAAGGTGGCACGAAGTGGGCGGAGAAGGTCGTTTCAGGGTGGGATGGTGATCGAGGCTAGGAATGCGAGGACGTCGGGACGAGGAGGGATCGGTGGTAGCAAACAATTCTGAGTGAAAGTGTGTAATTAAATACGGGCGTTCCCTTTTGATTTCCACCCCCCCCTCCTCTGCAGGACTTACAGCTGACCAATTTCGAATTATCAATGGTCGCTGGGAACAATGACGTAGATCTTCCTAGGGGTTGGAGGAGACTGCGACTTATCCATTATCGTCCTTTCCCACTGGGCCCCCGCTCGGTCGCCTGAGCTTGCTCTTGAGCCGGGAGTCTTTGGAGTCCTCAAAGCATTCCGGACTCCCGGCTACTATGGCGACCTGGAAGGGAATCAACGGGGGGG